CTAGCCGCTCATGGGGTACTCAGACTTCTCCCAAGCTTGGTCCTTCGTGTGGGTACCTCACACTTAGTTCCAACCATTTGATTTGCTGATGCATCCTTCCAATACTTTGCTTTCCATGCTCCTAGAAAATAAAAAATTGACACTACAAAAATAATACAATTAAAAAAAATAAAAAAAAAATGAAAGAAAGCAATAAAGCTGGGTTGCCTCCCAACAAGCGCTTGATTTAACGTCGCGGCACGACGTGAATCACTTTCTGCCTCCACTTTGAACATATGAATCGGACTCCAAGTTTTGATTCTGCTCTATGATCATGCTCCTGGGGTGGTGGAACGAATCTGACTAGCCCAATAAAATAATGTAGTATTCTGCACTTCTTGGCCTTTATATGAGGTGTGTAATCCCGAATTTCTGGCAAGAAGAATTCCAGAATGTAAGCATTTGTTCATCATTCCTTGACTCCTCAAATGGCTCGGACGACTCTAATTTCCATATCATCATCTAAACACAATGTGAAAAAATGCTTGGAGTGAGGACCAATGCGCTCAACTACATGAACATTGGGACTATCTACATTCTCACACTAATGACAATAGGAGTCAACTAAATATGTATCCTCAATATCCTTGTGTGACTCTAGTATCTTCTTCTACAACATCGATATCCTCAAAATCTAGTGTGATTGATTGTTGGTGTTCTACTCTAGCCTCCTCCTCTAGCTCATCAATTTCTGTATCTAATTCACGCTCTTCTTGGATACTATTCACAATATTGGCTTGTTGAGCATTAAAAACTTCAACCAGTTGACTCATGTGAACTTTCAAGTTGTGAATAGTTTCCTCCTGCCTTTCTATCCGCAGTAGTAATTTACTCTGTTGTTTCCAAAATGCACTTTAAACTATCTTTGAGCTTCTTTAGGTCAGCTTCCCTAGGTTCTTTGTTCCTATTAACTTCACCAGAAAAAGAAGAACAATCAAAGTAAGGGGTTGGGGGAAGGTAAGAAATATAAGCACAACCGTGAAAGTGACCATCTTGACCACCACACATATCACACACATTCCACACATAAGATTGAGTTGGTGCACAAAAACTCGCTCTCAGGAATATTTGATAATTTTTGCCCTGGGTGGTTTCTTCACAATTGCATAAGGAGGATCAAAAAGTAGAATTACCCAACAACAAAATTCTCATAATTTCCATGATGTTTCTTCAAATAAACAAATAAAACTAAAATAAAAAAAATAAAAAATCAAATAATAAAATAAAAGTTCAAACTTGAAACTAGCAATATGTACACCTACAACTACACCGTTAGAACCCCGGCAACGGCGCCAAAATTTGATCACGCCCAACTATGCCTTATAAAAAGGACAATGCGATCGTTGCAAATATAATCCGGTCTACAAGTCCGGAGTCGAATCCCACAGAGAACTAAGGTTTAGCTACAGCTGTTCACTATTC